CAGCGGGGCCCCACACGCGGTGAGGGTACAGGGCCCCGGGCCTGACCCACCGTGAGGGGAGTGAGCCCAGTCCGTTGTTCAAGGTAGTGTTTGGCCTTAGGCGGAGGAAGGTGACGGGTCTCCCCTGTTACCGGTCCCCGCAGGATGAATACTGATGTTAAAATTATTAATCGTGAGGAGAGCAGCTCCCACTGCTCTCTGGAGAAGGCTGTAGTGGTATGCGGTGGGTCCCCAGGGCCGTGTTACACCCCTCCCCGCCCCCACTGAGGTAGCCCCTGAGGAGCTAAGTTCCTTGGAGATAGCTCATAGTAAAAACTAACGAGGTTAGCTCATTGCAAAAAACGAGAATGAAGTCACTGGACATCCTGCAGAAATAACTCCTACACCTGCTTCAGAAAGACTTAGATTGCATCATCAGGTGGATGGGAGAAGGCTGCAGATGGGCTCTGGAGATCACCAGACACTGAGCTTCCTGAAGCTGACAAAAGGGCAGTTCAGTCTACAGAAAAGAGTACTGTGCTGTATTCCCCATAAACATTTCAGTTACTCACACTAGTCTCAAGCCGCTCATGGGTACAGCAGGGAGAATTGGGCTTGGTCACTGAGGGTGTATACTTTAGCCCTCAGGGTCCAGAGCAAACCTGTCCCTTCCTTCCTTCCTTCCCTCCCTCCCTCCCTCCAGTTTGCAAGGTTAATATTGGTCCTACCTGCAAATCTTCGGGAGACAGCAGAAGAGCTTAATCTGGAAGTCTAGAGGCAAAGACATTTAATACTCTAAATTACCCAGGGCTTGTTGGAACAGTAGGCGTAGAGCTTTTCTCAGCATCTGCTATCAGGGTCACATTTTAACTGATGGACAGTACTTGATAGCACCAATGTCTGAAGGGCAAATGCATATATAGCCAGGTAATTAAGGAAACTAAGGTCTTAAACACAAGTCCCATCTGAGAGGCATATTATGAGGTAATTTAACATCCTCCTAGGTGCTATCCTTTCTCTGAATCAAGTTATTAACACATAAATTATTGTGAATAAATCTGATAATTTTGCTTTGCTGGCTATGTATACCTGTAGGGGTTTGCATGATAATCTGCCTTAGCAAACTTTTCAAGTTGATTGTAACAATGTTTTTCCTGTCAGAAATGTATTAGGAGTAGATTGGGAGTGCATTCTGGAGAAATACTTTTTTCTATTACTAACTCTCAGAAATGTCCCATATCTTTCTACCACAATTCATCTCACCTAATCTAGGTCTATCAAAATTGATTCAAAGGTGCTGCTGTGTAATGGCTGACTATTTTAGCTATTAATGAGAGTTGAATTTCTCCTGTGTGGATGGAGTCCCCTAAAACCACTCCCACTGTATAGACAGATCAGTGTCTGCATATCAAGTATAGATGGCCAAGGACTGCATGTGGAATTGGAATCAGAGATGACCTGTTCAGGAGAGTTATTTACAGTCTTAGATCGCCAAGACTTAAAGAGTCAGTCATCTGTGCCGTCTGCCCAAAACTTTACAGCTGTTAATCTGAGTGTAACTTTTCATTGAACTTCGTTTGCCCTAAGTGGATTTTGGTAGCTGTTATTACACTAGGAGTGTTTGTACATTGCTAAAGCCACTTCTATTGTGTTCATGTTTAAAGTTTTCAGAATGACTTCCTTGGTTGACACGCCCCTGAATTATGAAAAGATGTTTGCTCATCGATTCACATCAGATGATAAAGAATACCAAGAATATCTGAAACGCCCTGCAGATCCCCCTCCTATAGTTGAAGAATGGAGAAATAGATCTGGTGGCAACCAGAGAAACAGAGATCGGTACTGATTTCCTTTTTTTTTTTTTCTTCAATCTTGATAGTTTCACAAACATATAGTTAAATGATCATTTATTTCAGATTAAGACAGGAATTTGTTCTGTTAATAGAAGTATCTTCTTGTTACTTCACAGGTAACTATGTTTAATAGTCTTCTCTGAAAAGTAATGAGGTTTTACATTTTCTCTGTACTGATCATCAAAGTTCTTGCATTGTGTAGAAAAGTATTAAGTAATTTGCTTTTTAGTAAGGAATGAGCTGGAACCACCGAACCCATTGCCCTGGGGTTTGTTAATGCTGAGCCACGAATGTTTTTTCAGAGGGGAAAGATGAGAGTTCTGCAAAACTAAGCAGCCTATCATCTTCTGTTGGATAATACTGGCAGGAAAATGTGCGAAGGAACAGGCTAATAATGTGATTATCTGTTGCTAGCTGTCCAGAAAAATGTTTCATTTGTAACCTAAACATTTGCTGTGCTTTGTTAGATTAGCCTGTATTTCTTTTATCTATTAGAAATAACTGTAAAATTAATCATCTCTGTCTAGCAAGTGCAATGTTACCTGCCTACTGCAAAATATTTTGTATTATTTCTTCAGGATGTAATTACAGCTTTTTACTGAATTCTGGACAGTAACATGATTTCTGTGACTCAAAAATGACGATTACAGCATATAGTATGTTTGGTAATACTAACATCAGCCTTTAATATAAAGCAGTTAAACTCCAGTCCAACTAACAATTAGGAAGACTTCTTAGCTAAATATCTAAAGAGGATTTGTGCTTTGTCTGAAGAAAAGAAGGACAACATTCTAACTTTTTCTCACCCTAGAAGCTTGTCATTAAGTTAAACACAGAATCAGTTTCTACAGATTAAAAAATAAAAGTGATTGTTTAAGGAGATCTTCTTACAAAACTTTGTGGTTCTTTAAACTAATGAACTTTTACATCTATGCTCTGGTCACAAAGTGAACCGCATGTAGATGTTGTTTGTCTACACCACACTACTGAGATATCCAAAGAAAATTATTGTGAGGCAGCTCAGGTGTTGATAGGAATTGAGATACAGCTGAAAAGCCAAAATTTAGACTGAACAGTGCTAAGTACAACTGATGAGATACACTCTTTTGAGTCTGGGAATCCACAAGAGACCACAAAGTGGGGGTAGTATGTATTTTAAGGAATACGCAGATCCCAGGACTCTATGCTGTTAGGTAGCTAAATTGTACTTAAGCCAGCTTTGCCACAGCTTTCAACCCTGAAGCTACCAGATTGAACCTGGCTTTGATACAGCTACAGATTTATCTTCTGGGGCTTTTTTTAGATACATGGTCTGTTTGAGTCTCTATTAAAAGTTCCAGCAGTTCACCTAATGCCTGTGAATACTTCGTGATAGGAAGCAGACTGACCTCCCATTGCTTAGCAAATAGTGCGTTGAGTAGTATTATGAAATTAAGAAATTATCTCAGATGACTGTAGATGTATTTTCATCTGTTTGTCATAAAAAGGGATAAGTATTTGGGTGTATAGTTACATAACAGTTTTCATGAAAACTAAGTAAGAGTTCATTATCATTCATCTTTTTTTAAAACTCACAACTTCTATGACCTTGACGTTTCTTTTCATTGCAGGTTTCAAGATGGTAGATATTTTAGAGGGGACAGATACAACTGGCAAGGTGACTATAGATCTAATCAGAGGCCAGAAAGAAGTTGGGGTAATAACTACCAGCAGCACAGACAAGGACAATCGTACTCTTCCCACTATGGACAATACAGCTACAACTCCTACAACCCAGGGCCTCGTTACCATCCTTACTGATGATACTTGTCGTTTGAAAGTCCAGTAATTTGTGTAACAAATTGAGTTAGACTTCAGTTTTCTTATTTTGCCACAGTTGTAACGATAACTGAAGAGTCAGTATTACATTCCATTGCTGTTTGTTTGTAGTGTAAATTGAAGAAGGGAATACCTTTTATGAATAATAAAAGTGTATTATACAGAGTTTGTTTAGAGTCTGTAGATCTTAGATTAAATTTCTATTTCATATTCTTTTGTCTGAATACATACTATTACACTTCTTCCATCACTGCGGTTTCTCTCTTACATTTTAGAAAGCACAACAGGTTGGGAAGATAGCTGTGGTTTGTGTGCAGCTTGTAGCAGTGGCACGTTGCCTTAAGATAGTTCTTTTTGAAAGCGACATACTGTCTTTCTCTGGAGAGAATTTCTTAGTTTGGCTTTTGATAGAAAAGCTTAGTTTGGTTTGAATTTCAGATGTCTGAAACTGAGAAGTGAGATGCTACTACAGAAATATTTTATAGGTCAATATAGTGTCTGTTGACTCAACGGCTTCAATTTATTTGCACTATTCCTCTTAAAACATGGTCTAAAAATTGCAATAAAAATTAAGTAGCTTAAATATGTATCTTCTTACTGTAGTAGTTCAGTGATACATAAGTTTTACCAGAGAAGTGATATCAGATTAATTTGTATCATCTTAAAATACATTTGGTATGTGCATAACAAATTTTGGAATTCCTAGCTTTTCAGTAAAGCTGTAAAGTTTTGATGATAATTGTAATTAGTTTGTATGAAATACGTTGTGCATGTTATAGAAGAAAGGAACCATACTCAGTACTGTTCTGTACTTTTTTTTGCATGAGAAAATAGCATTAGCAGTGCAGAGTCTTATTCAGTTCTTAGAATTTAAGTTCTGTGAGTTTTTTAAAATATTCACACAATAAAAGTATAGTTCACATGTAAGGATGTTTCTGAGTGTTTCTGAAACTTACTTTTGAAACATTCAGAATTGCAGGGCTGTCGTCTAGGCTGACAGCTGCGCAAGAAGCAGTACTAACAGATAAGCGCTAATACTGGGCAGCTGTTGGTTTAAGTTAGAAGAATGGCCTACATCAAGAGGATGAGACACATTGTGATTAATTAGAAGTCTGGAGTGTTAATCCACTATCTTGTATTCTACTATAATAGGGTCAAAGTTCTCTATTCCACCATTTACGTGATAAGCCAATTTGTATCAGGAGAGCAGTGCATTTCTTTTTACTTGACATTTTCTTCCGCTGTTGTACAGAAACATGGAACCATCCACGCTGACTGTTGTAAAAGTCATGACATTATGAGATAAGGAGCGCAAATTAACGCATCTTGATTTAAAATCAAAGAATAAATATAGAAGTCAAAAGCACAGTCTCCCAACTCATAAGATGCTTTTAAGAGCTAAAGATTATATTTACTGTTGATCTTAGAAACACACACTGTATGTAGGTTTTACATAGTCTGTGGTACAAAAGCTGTGACATAGGTGTCTCCATCTACCTGCTAAGTATTTGTTTTCTGCTTTTCATATAATACTGTTAGCTCTGATGATACAGTTTTAATATCCTACTCCCCACAGTATTTGCCCTGAATTCACTTGTTTAACCTTAGAAATCTTTGATTGAGAGGTTTGGTTTTCCTTAAGGAGTTCTACTGATGAAATGCAGCCTTTCTAACCCTCGTTAATATTGAGGAGCTGTTACACTGGGGGATATAAGAAGTGAGAAGTTCTTGTCTGTGCACTACAGAGAACCTGCAAGTTGGTACGGTAGAATTCCCTTTCAATGCAGAATCATGTGCAAAGTGCCAGATAACCTGAACCCCCCCCTCCAAGAAGGGAGCACATCTCTTTCTGCAAAGAGCCCGACGCTGCCAGCTATGCCACGGAAGTCAGGCTGTGCCAGGGTGATGTTCTTCCGTACCATCTGGAGTAGCATCTCAGGTTGAAATAAAGCCTGGCAAAAGGAAGGGATTCTGTCTCATCCGTTGCCTTTCCTCAAGCCCAATAACTATTTTATTTTTAGTGTCTTTCAGCTAGTGAATAAAGAATCTACAACACTGTGACCAAGCTGTAGCAGCTGATAGATGAGGATGGCCTAAGTGGAAGTTATGACTTGGAATCACACATTTCACGATCTTAGTTCTCTTAGTCTGAGTTTCTTGACCGTGAGACCAGGACAAACAGGCCAGTGCAGCTTCCAAGCTTCTGTCTTTACATTCTTGACCCCATCTGCCTCACCATTGGAACTCTCAATTCAACTTTAAGGACCTGTATGATTTACAAACCTTTCCTTGGAACAATTATGGCAAGAATGTAATTTTTTTGGGGGGGAATACATTTCTAAATAAATGCAGGCCTTGCACTGGACAGAAAGGTAAATAGAATTCAGTATGTATTACCTCCAGCAGTTTCCACTTAGATTAATTAGTATTTATGACAAAGTCTGGTTTATTGCTTCTGTCAAGCTAAATAAAACCAGTAGCATTGCCTGCAATTATGGTTTGTGCGTTACAGTGTTTTAGAGATGACAAAACTAAAGCTGGGTAACTTTAACATTTGCAACTTCAAACACTACAGAAATTGTTTGCTTTAACTATGCTGGAGATTGCAGGGTAAACATTAAAATTCAGCATCCGGAATCTCACTTTAAGAGATTTCTTCCATCTGACATTTGCTCAGACATCATTATTATCATGAATAAAACAAAAGATAAATGTTATGTATTAAAAAAATGACTGTCACTTTACCAAGAGTTCGAACGCCCCAGAAGTTCTGAATATGGCTCTTGCAGCAGCTCTGAATCCTGAGCACATACAGCAATTTTGTACGGACTGTTAATTGATAATGAAGAATTATGCTAAAATACAGGTGCTGTGGCCAACAACTAAGGAAACTCAGGAGCTTTTATACAATTTCTTAACTAGCATTTTAAAAAAATCCTAAAGGCTTTCAAATCACAGCTAAGCCACTCAATACTTGAAGGCAAAAGAAAGTGCATAGAAAAAAAAAATTAGTGTGATTTGTGAGACACAATTTTACAAGTGTTCACCGCTATTCAACCTTTTATCCTAACTGCAGCTGGGAATAGAAACGTGCAGACGTGCTTTGAAACGTTAGTTAGAAGCTGAACTACTTTCGAGAGGCTCTAGTAAAGATTTCAGACAGGGAAGGCAAGTGTCTTTTCTAATGTACATATAATCAATATTCAACTTCTAGAACAAAAATATATTTAGTCTCCTACTGTTTAAATATATTTTAATATAAAATATATTTTAATATATTTAAACTCATACTGTTAACTTGGTAATAAATATTCTGCTTAACCAAGAAACATGTTCACATCTGCTTCTCATACTGAGATGTTGGAAAGAAAATTCTTTTTCTATCAATCAATCATATTTAAGCTAAGGTTTTGCCTGCCACCACCCCTACTCTTTAGGAAAAAAAAAAATCGCTCTGAATAGCACAACTCAGTGAATTTTGTTAGCTGATCCAACTTGTGCAGTCACACCTTCTCTGACTCCCACAAACAAGAGGGGATAGGAACATGGAGCAAGAAAGAAGGGAAAACAGGATTGCTCCTTACAGGATTGCTCCTTACAGCAGCTACTGACTGCCTCAGGAGCGACTCAAGGAAACGGCACCTCCCTTGCCTTTCACTTGCCAGTCAGGAAGAATGTCTGTATCTGTCCCCTTGTCCCTGTATGTTCAAAGTAAGTGAGTTGTATAACCCTGCTTCAGTTATGCACGGCGCTGACGTTCTAATGACTGGAAGCTAAGCAAGATTACAGGGCGGATCAGGTTTCCCTGAAAGTACCTAGGAGATACACAGCCCAATTCGAGGCACACAGAGGTATATCTAGAGATCAAAACAGAGTCCAGTGGCTCCAGCACTGCCAGGAGAGTAGATGGCAACCGTACTATGGTGGTGCACAATGATCTTGCCTCTCAAGAGGATTAATTTTTTCATTAGGCCCTGCAGGCTGGAATTTATTTTTGTGTTTACCATGGCCTCTATTTTTCTTCAGTAAAGCACGGACTGTACTTAGTGGTTGTCAGTCCTCATTTGCTTATGCGAAACAGTGATGCCAAAGTGTTATTTCTATACAGCTTGCGCCCTGACTTTCTAAGAACTCTGTCCTGGTAAACTGAAAATTTATTACAAGAGATGGCAAAAGTTGGTAATAACCATGTTTTCCTCTAAGTCTAATAAACACACACCAGGATAAATCATATCACCATCCCCAATGCTTACCTTGTTTGTTATTTATGACCAGCGGGAATACAAATGAATGTTGTCTTTTTCCAAACACAGAGATGCTTCTTTTTCAAATAATACTTCAGCAGCTGGAGGACTTTTTTCCACAAGTAGGGACTGCCACCTTTCTTTTTTTACATATTGTGTAATTCAAACCTTGCTTCACTAATAAAAGATGTTTCAATAACAAGTATCAAAACTGCTCCTGCTCACTGTTTGAAGAAAAAACTCATCTATTCAAAAGATGAGTTAAATTTAAGAAAACTTAGTTATTTCTTACAGAACTACAAAAATAACCAAGGCCCAACTTTATCCATGAAAAAAAACAATCTTCAAGGATTGAAGCAGCATCTTCAAACTGAAACGTGTTAAAAGAATGATTAAGACACTAAGCTTTTTCAAAGCTCTTGTTCAGACTGAGGAAAAACAATTTGGTATTTGTATACCCACATAAGTTAACTACTTAAGATTATAATTTGTACTGTTGAGATAAAGGTCAAAAACACAAGCATACCATAAGATGTTTCACATTGGTTTTGGCCACCATGTTCCAAGTTTAGCATGATCCGAGCTGATCAGAAAGCAGATGCTCTTTGTCCAAAGTTATGTCAGAAGTTTGTTTCTGAAGAAATGCTTGAAACAATACATTTCGTATTAAAAATGTGCTCAAGAAAAAGAAAGTAATGGTAATAACTGCCAAGTGCAACCAGCCCCAAATGATTACATACTCCTTTTACAAAATGAAAAAAATTATTTTTCCATAGCAAAGGCCTGGGTTTTAAGTTTTACCCCTTTCTAGTCATCTTGATTTATGAATGCCACCGAGACCTAAAACAAAATACATTTAAGAGTACTGCTTCAGTGGCTTTAATGGTATGAACACTTAAATGCAGCATACGAAACCTCTGGAGTTTAGATCAGTTTAGTGCAAGAGCTCTGTGTGGACACACGTTCTCCTCAGATCAAGCCCATGTTACTCATTTATAAGCCACACACTTGAAATGCCTGCTCTGAAGTGAGCTGATGGAGCATCAAGCGTGGGGTACACACACCCTCCTCTAAACCCCTGCTACAGCTAAACAGCTATAAGAACATAAAGGACCTTTACCTTAAATTGCCCACCTGGGCAAATCCTATTTCTCCAACCCTGCAGCTCAGAGGATACTTCCATCAGCCGAATTACAATTTTTGTTG